GCCTGTGCCGGAAGGCAGTGAGTCAGCCATGAACATGCGGGGGGCTGGGGTGGGTCCCACCAGCAAGGCGGACAAGCCCAGGAGGCAGTTCTGGGCCTTGGAGAAAGGGTTGGGGACAAAGATTAGGTGTCCTTCCATTTTCATGCTACTTAATGGCTGCTGGAGTGGGAGAAACTGCCCTAGTAATATGCAGAGTGATAAGAAAGGAGGGATAAGAAAGGAAGAAATGAGAAGGACAGAGGAAGACGGGATCTGGAGATGAGGCAGTCAGAGCTAAGTGCGGCGGGGTGGGGGTGGGGGGTTCAAGGAGGGATGGTCACAGGTGCTGGTGTTTATTGAGTGTTAACTGTGTGCCAAGTACCCTCAGCGTGAGGCAGACACTGTTATTACTATGCCCACTTTACAGATGAGGAAACTGAGAGGCTAAGGAATTGACCCACATCAGTGAGCTAAGGCGTGGTAGATCCTGGGTTCCACCCAGTGGCCCAGCCAGTGTGCTTAATCACTGTGCTACCCTACTTCTGGGACGGAAGGTTGCTGATGTCACTGTTGACTTCACCCATGGCTTGGGTGGACAGATAGAAGTGAGGAACAAGTTTGGAACAACGACAAGGCTTGACATCGAATGGCATCGTAGAGTCTGCAGGAGACAACCACAACTGTGACCTGGTCTGCCCTGCAATGGACCGGCAAGCAGTTATCTCTCTGTCCTTTAATGCACTAGGAAGCCGAAGCCCTCGGAAGGTCAGGGAATTGCTCAAGGTCACACACCATGAGGCTGTGCCAGAGGCTTGAAGTCAACTCTTTGGGTCTGGAATGGTGTTTACTCCCCCTAAGAGGAATGAAGAGCCACTGAGAAGAGAGGCTGTCCAGATGTGGGTGCCGGCCCGGGGGGATTCAGAGAGAAGGCCATGACATGGGCCACCTTGACTGACAGCATCTGAGCTGTGATGCCCAGTGAGCATCCCAAGTGAGGGGTCTTGGTCCCATGGAGAGGCAATGGGGAGCTTATCTGGTCATGGTTTTATCTTGGTCTCACTCATTTAAAAGTCATCTCATGATGGGTGTTAATGATACTGTGTGGCCCAGCAGCAAGCACAGGGGTGGAATGAAATCCTGGCACCGCCTCTTACTAGCAGGTGGCCTGGGCAAGCCATGTAATGTCTCCAGAGAAGATCTGGCTTCTCTGACTGCAAACTGGGGATTGTCTCGCCCCTGCCTGGTATTGTGGGAGTTAAGGACAATGGGAGTAAGGCACTTGGCATGCACCTGGGGGTCAGTAAACAGGAGCTGGCATTGTTCGTGTCAGGTGACAGGTGAGGGTTTGTACATCTTTTATCAAAGTGTAGCTTCATTGAAATTTTGTTTCTAAATCTCTCTCTCTCACACACACACACACGTGCACGCACGCGCGCGCACACACATGCACAGAACAGAGGAGACTTTTGAAATCTTCCTGCCCAAGTACCTTGTGCAGATGGCGAAACTGAGGCCCAGAGACGGAGATTTATACACCCAAGATCACAGAGTCAAAGGGGCCTGGTCCCTGCCTGCCAACAGGTCGAGTACTGCATGACATCACCAAGTGTCCCGGACCGAGCCTCATTCCTGCTGTGCACTAAGCATGCACTTTACACAATCACTGCCCCACACGGCAGCCACCAGAATCCTTGCTGGCATCAAACATCAAAGTCAGAGGGCACTCAGGGTCGTCAGCTTCCTCCGGCATTGCCTCACCTGGTTGTAGGGGTTAAAAAGCCATGGCAGGTGTTCCTGAGACTGGAGAAATAAAATGAATGATCTCAGACTTACACAGGAGACCACGATGGGTTCTCCTCAGAAAATGCTGAAGGGGGAGTCCACTGCCGCCACACCAACTCTGCCTTAACACAGGAGTCCTCTGGCCTCATTTGTATTCCCTAGGGATCTTAGCCCACAAGAGGGAGAAAGCTACAGTTCTCCTGAGTTTAAGCTGGCTGATCTCTACCCGAGAGCTTTAAGGAAGGTCGTGGGGAGCATGGCACACTGCAGGGGGTGAGGGGCTCATGCAGAAGAGCCCTGTTCCTGATTGCTTAAGGGAAAGTGGGATTGTTTTCCCCCTGACGTCCACTCTGACAACATCACAGATGATCGTTCAGTCCTTCCCTACAACCCAGCAGGCCTCGTGCTGGGCTCTGGGCATACGAAAATAAACACCATAGGCAAGATGCCTGCTCTTGTGAGACACAGGTATTGAGTGAAGAGGCTGAGAAGAATGAGGACACAAACATACAAACAAGATAATCTCAGCGACTGATCAGAGCTGTGAATAAAGAAACAAAACAGAGCAGTGGTAACACGACTGGGAAGGTTGGCTACTCCACACTGGCATCCAGAAGATGTCTCCGGGCAGGTGACATTGCAGCTGGGCCTTTAACAAGAAGGCAGCAGGCACGTGGAGTTCTGGGGAGGGAGTTCCTCAAAGAAATCGGCAGATGCAAAGGCCCCAAGGCTGGAGTCAGCCGAGACTTCTAGGACTTTTATCAAAAGAATTTGGAGGACAGGGGGCGATTTTGTTAAGTAAACAAAGTAAACAAGACTCTTTCTTTCCCTAATTTGTCATCCTTCCCCGCCAGCTCCAAATCCTATTAATCCTAGATAATTCCCACTTCATTTAAACACCTCTTCTTCTTTTTTTTTTTTTTTTTTTTTTTTTTGAGGCGGAGTTTCGCTCTTGTTACCCAGGCTGGAGTGCAATGGCGCGATCTCGGCTCACCGCAACCTCCGCCTCCTGGGTTCAGGCAATTCTCCTGCCTCAGCCTCCTGAGTAGCTGGGATGACAGGCACACGCCACCATGCCCAGCTAATTTTTTGTATTTTTAGTAGAGACGGGGTTTCACCATGTTGACCAGGATGGTCTCGATCTTGTGATCCACCCGCCTCGGCCTCCCAAAGTGCTGGGATTACAGGCTTGAGCCACCGCGCCCGGCAACACCTCTTCTTCTAAGAAGGCTTCGGGTTCTAGTAGTTCACGGTAGAACCAGTATAAAAACTATACTGTTACCACTTTTCAAAAAAAAAGTTTACTGTTAATACTCTTTTGTGAAATATGATGTCGATGACAGATGTGTCACAAATGTAGCAGAAATCAAAAGCTGACCGTGCTTTGCAAATCCCGAAGACTTTGGTCTGAGAAATTCCGGACGCTGCGGGCCCCCGTGAATTAGGCTCTGAAGCTCTGTTAGCCTCCCCTCCTTTACTCCTAGATGGCCCTGGATTTCCCATACCCTTTCCATTCTCTTCCCTGTTTTTAGAGTTGGAATTCCAAGAGCACAAGGAGTGTCCGTTCCTGGCACTGAGCCAGGCCCACAACAAGCACTCAGAAGATACTGACTGAACCAACGCATTGTGATTTATGATGAGATACACTCACCTGAGAGAATGCTGAAAATAAAATCAGTAGCAAACTGGTGAAGGGAGACAGCAGTGTAAGGGAAATGAGCCTGTACGTCAGAGCCAGGAGCCGGGGTTCACAACGTGTCTCCTGCAAGAGGTGGTGTAGTCGGGTCAGAAGGCCCTGCCCGGGGCCGGGCGCGGTGGCTCACGCCTGTAATCCCAGCACTTTGGGAGGCCGAGGGGGGTGGATCACGAGGTCAAGAGATCGAGACCATCCTGGTCAACATGGTGAAACCCCGTCTCTACTAAGAATACAAAAAATTAGCTGGGCATGGCGGTGCGTGCCTGTAATCCCAGCTACTCGGGAGGCTGAGGCAGGAGAATTGCCTGAACCCAGGAGGCGGAGGTTGCGGTGAGCCGAGATCGCGCCATTGCACTGCAGCGTGGGTAACAAGAGCGAAACTCCGTCTCAAGGCCCTGCCCACTCTGTAGCAGCCAGACTTGGGTGAAACCACTTTCTCTGAGCCTCAGCTTCCTTACCAGTTAAATGGGGATGGTAAAGCTTTGTCCCACGCTTCTTGTAAAGAACAAATGACATGTTTGCAGAAAAACACTCTGCAGATAGTATGTAAGTGACACTTCTTCAGTTTGTCCTTCCAGCCCCTCCTGCATGGAGCATCCAGCCAACTCAGCAGATGACCTCTTTCCAGTTTCAGCGTCTGGTTCTCCCACAAGCCTGTGAGGTAGGAAATTCTTCTACAGGTTCTGAACAGAAAAGTATAGTGCCTGGCACCTAATGGGTGCTCCATAAATGAACAAATGACCCCAGGTAAGTCACTCCTCCTACCGGACCTGCTTCCTCTAAGTAATCTCCCTTCCTTTTCCAGATCCGTGAAACTTATTTGCTTTTTTAGAACAGGCCTAGGAGTCACATTTAGGGAAGGTGGGTGGGTGTGAAGAGACTTTGATTAAAAGGTTAAACACATTTTTGGTTTCCACTTTCGAATCTTCTAGAATTTATTTTTGCCTGCTTAATAAAAAAAAGAGCCATGTCACATTTCTTTAGCTTGTCTTCTGGGTTCCTTAACAACAACAACAAAACATTAAAGTCTTTATTTTAAACCGCCTACTCCAGCCATCCCAGGACGCGGCGAGGAGGGGGCGCGGACAGGTGGCGCGCGTGCCCGGGAAGGCGGGGGCTGCACCGCGCCGCGGGCGGGGCCGTGCGCGCCGAGCCCCACTACCCCGGCGCGGGCCGGGGGCGGGGCGCGGCGGCGGAGGTCGGGGGCTTCTGCCGAGGGCAGTTCCACGTGCCCCTCCGCGGGGGGCGTCTGTTCTCCGATGCCCAGCACACGGGTGGGCTCCGGCTTCCTGCCCGCCCTCTCACCTCGCAGCGGCTTCCGCCGCCCCCGCCTGTCTGCACTGCGCGCCCCGGGCCCTAGACCCCCGCCCCCCGGCCCCGGCACCGGCCTGTCCCCCGGCGCCCTCAGCCTGTGGCCCACCTCCCGCGCGCGCCCGCGGCCCAGCCGGAGGGAGGGGCAGGGGCGGGGCCCGGCCGGCGCTGATGTAATCCCGGCACCCGGGCGGAAGGATATGGAGCGCGCCCCTGGTTGGCGGGGCGCTGAGGCCAGTTGCCGGGTAACGGAGCGGAGCGGCTCCCGGCGCGCCGCCTCCCGCCCTCCGCCGAGTGGCGCTGGGGCCGCCGCCGCCGCTTTACGTAAGGCGCAGGCCAGGGCCGCCCGGCGCTCGGCAGCCGCCCGCAGCCCCTCGGAGCCAGAGGAGAGGCGCCCCCGCCGGCCGCCGCGCCGCCCGGCAGCCTCGGCAGGTACCGCGGGCAGGCGGCGGGGAGGGAGGGCGCGGGGCGGCCCCTCGGCCGGGTGGGCGCGGGCCCGGGCAGGCCGGCCGCTGGCCGCCGTGGGGCTTCGGGACCAGCCTCAGGGAGGCCGGGCCGCCGCCGGGGGCTCCGGGGCCAGACCGAGGGAGACCGGACCGCCGCCTGGGGCTCCGGGACCAGACGAGGAAGCCCGGGCCGCCTCAGACCCTGGTGGTGCCCGGGCGTGCGGGTGAGCTGTGGGCCCTGGGACCCCCGCCCGGACCCCAGGACGCCGGGATCCCAGTTTGCCGCTCGTGCGCGCGGGTGGGCAGCGGACGATGAGTCCGCACAATGGGTTGCCGTCAGCAGCCTCCTGCCTGGGGCAGGTGTCGCCGCGCCGGGGAGGCTCTTTTGGGGGAGGTGAGGCGGTGGTGCTTAGACGTGAGGCTGGGGCGCGGAGCCCCGAAAGCGGGCGCGGGAGGAAGGGTTCGACCGGCGGGAGGCGCTCGACGTCCCCGGCAGCGGGGTCAGGCCGGCAGGCTGGGCCGCTCTCTCGCGTCCCCTCCGTTCCCTTCCCCTCCAGCATTGTCCTTTTGGGGCCCGGGGAAGGGAAAACCGCGGGGCGGGGGAGGAGGGCCGCAGGCGGGCGGGGCCGGGAGGCCGGCTGAGTGACGGGCGCGCCGGCCTATGGCGCGGAGCGCGGCGCGAGGGGCGGGCCTGGAGGGCGGGGCCGGTGTGGCGCAAGGTTTGGCGAAGGTTACAGCTGGAGCCAGGAGTGACAGGCCCACAGTCACCCGCGCGCCGCCGGGCAGACCCCGGCGCAAGGGGCGCCCCGAGATGCTGCGGAGCCTCTTCCTGCTCCTTTCCAAGAATACGCGTCTCCAGCAGGCATTTCTAGAGCTCCCTGCTTCTTCCCGCTGGAGAAACCAGTGTGTGTCTTGTTGGAAATGCTTCGTGTTGTCCTAGAATTCAGTTTGCATCTTGTACGCAGATAGCAGGACCTGCCGAGCTCTTGGTACAGACCCCTAAATCATGCAGAACTGTTTTGATTTCTTTTTTGCCACCTTTCTGTTTTTGTCCTCTGTAGGCAAGCCATAAACACTTAACCCGGTTAAAAACATAGGAAGGTTCATTGGAGAGGAGGCATGCGATTCTTGGAAAAATTTATGTAAATGTAGTTTTTGCTGATAATTACCTGAGTTGGATACTTTGACTTATTGCCCAAGTTCCTAAGAAGGGGTTTTACATTTCTGGGTCTCGTTTTTAAAACAGTGTTAGAAAGATCGTGAGGGGGCAGGGCCACGCCGTTTTGATAATAGGCGATGCTGTGGGTAAAACTGTACGGGAATCCCCAAGATAGATTCCTCCTGTGCAAAAAAGACCCATTCCAGAACACTTTGACCATTTCATGGACTTCGAATTTAAAGGGGGAGCGGGGGAGTGGAATCTATCATTCTGCATTTTCAAGGTCGTATATTCTTCCATCAGTTATTTTGGATTGAACCATTCTTGAATAGGTCTCAGAGTCTCTCTGTCGTTTCCTTATGACAGAACCTATTTCCGAGATTGTGCCTTTGCATACCTATAGAAGCTCCTTTCAATTAATACATCTTATGACTCAGATCCAATTGCTGTACTTGCTAAATAATGAATTTTTAATAATTCAAAAAGTAGTTTACTGCTTCCATTTTGGGGATAATGGTTTTTATGTAAGCCCATTACATGAGTGAAATGCCAGTTTTAAACATTGAAGGGAGGGGAGAATATTCTTACTTAGTTCCATAGGAAGTAGAATTCAAAGTGCAGGTGCTTTTTGGTTTGCTGTGGAGAAAAAGTATAGGTCTTTGACATGACGGTAACGTAAGTCGAATTTAACTATTTTAAGGATAATTAGCTTGTTACACAAGTTGCAAACATTTAAGAAGATAGATGAATTTTTAACACTGCCAGTGGTAATACAGGGTCATGTAGCTAGCTCACTCTGTGCTTTATTGTATGGTAGCAATCTTCAAAAGAAATTAATTGTTCTTTATTTTTCATTGTGTGGGTAAGTACTGAGCCTGGGCTTTGTCCTTGTTTTGGTAGCATTTGACTTGACAGTTAATGGCTTGTTAGCTAGTTTCCTCATCTGTAAAATGGGAAGAATGATGACACCTGCTTCACAGTGTTTGGGATGATCACGTGAGGGAAGACGTGCAATAATGCCGTCAACACTCAAACCTTTTTAAAATACTCGACTAGTGTAATTGTTAAAACCTCAGATTGCTTGCTTGGCTTAAAGCTTTTAGCTTTGTCTTCAGGCTCCTCCCCACCCCTTTTTATCCATCCTTTGCCTGGCTGCCAGAGTCCTCTTTCCTGAACACAGATCTTACCAGCTTCTGGCTCAGCAAGCTTCTAAGACTGCCTGTGGTTTGGAGCTTAGAATTCAGAGATACCAGCATCACAATGCAGGCCCCTTGCAGTCTGGCCCCCAGTCATCTCTGTACTTTATCTTGTCTTCTTTGTCCCCTTTCCACACTGTCCAGCTAAACAAGACTGCTCTTGATTCTCTGAACATCCCAAGCTATTTCAGACCTTTTTTGCTTATATTCTTTTCTCTGATTGGAATGTCTTGTCTGCGTCCCATTCCCTCCAGTTCTTAAAAGTTCATATCAAATATTCTCTTCCCTTTGGAGTACTTTGGAAGTCTTTTAAAAATGAATTATTCCTTTCTGCAATCATAGTTCTCTATTTTTCCTTCATCATTATGTCATATTGTATTGTAAATTGTTCATAGTAAACTCTGACTGTGGTGTCTTTGTCATCATTTTATCCCGATACCTTGCTCAGGTGTTTAAACATAAAGTGCTTAAATGTTGGTTAAATAAAGTCAAAGTCTGTAACCCATCTTCTAGAATATGTTAATGTTATAAAGTATATTTGTTTGTTTTTTTCTGACCCTGGCTTTAAGTCTCCAAATATTTTTTTTTTTCTTTTTTAAAGACAGGGTCTTGCTCTGTCACCCAGGCTAGAGTACAGTGGTGCTATCACAGCTACCTCCCAGGCTCAAGTGATCCTCCCACCTCAGCCTCCTAAGTAGCTGGGACGACAGGCACGCACCACCACGCCCAGCTACTTAAAACAATTCGTTTTTTTGTTTGTTTGGCTTTTTTTTTTTTTTGTAGAAATGGGTCTCCCTGTGTTGCCCAGGCTGATCTTGAACTCCTGGGCTCAAGCAATCCTCCCACCTCAGCCTCCCAAAGTGCTGGGTTTACAAGTGTGAGCCACCACACAAGACCCAGATGAAGTATTTTTTAATAAACATCAGTGCCAACCACAACATTAGAAATGCAGTTTTACTATGTTGTATATAGTTACTATTTAGAATATTTCTTTACAGTTATTTTTGGCCTTTCACATAATCACATAGTAAGTGGTATTTTATACAAAGTAAAAGCTGTCATCTTTCCCATCTGTATCTAAACTTTTAGGGTCTAATGAAATAGATGCAGCACCTGCATTGCTGACTAAATCATTGACCCTTCTTTTTTTTTTTGCGTAGAGGGAACCAGAGCACAAGTTTAAAAATATTCCTTATATTTGAAGTATAATTTAATTCCCAAGAGATTACATGCTTTTTTTTTAAGAGTTTTCTGTTTTGGAGATTTATTCTATGCATCACAAGCAATTGTTTTTGAGGGGGCTTCTTAAAAGAATGATAGAACTGGATTTGAAAGACTCACGTTTGCTTCTTGTCTGTGGACAAGTTTGTTAAATCTCTCTTGGAAGTCAGTCCGTGTTTGTGAACTGAGAACAATTACTCTTTTTGCTTTGTAGTACATTTAAAGTGGCTATACTTTGTATATTGCACATCCCTGCCTACATATAAGGTAATAAGATGTTTTGCTTTATAGCATCTTTGTCCTGCTCACTACCCAGCCTGGAAGCCCTTAGAGACTTCCTTTGTTGACCAGAGTTTTACCAGGTTTGCCTCCATCAGTCTTTTCCATCAGTCTTTTCCTCTTTTCTTTCCTGTATCCTCTGCCCCTCCCCTCTCTGAAGCTGTTACTCCTTATGAAAATAGTTGCTGTAGTCCTTCAACTGGCCTCTCTTTTCTGGTCTCTCGTCCTTCTCTGTTCTGTTGCCAGGATTATTTAATATGCAAATCAAATCCTATCATGCCCCCTCTCCCAAATATACATCGGAGGTTCCCAGCTGTCATATCCCTGTTCCATCACACCTGAGGGATGTGACAGTTTTGTTGGTAAGATCACGGGCTTTCTCCTCTGAAGGTTTTTACCTCGGAAGTGCTACCACCCTCCTCTCCTGGTTGAGATTTCGTGTTGAAGAGTTAGGAAATCACTCTAAGGTCTTTGCTGTCTGGCCTAGTTCTTACTTTTACCCTGATCTTTTACTGGATCTCTTCTTTTTTGTTTTTGTTTCTGTTTTTTTGAGGCAGGGTCTTGCTCTGTCACTCAGGCGGGAGTGCAGTGGTGTTGTCTCAGCTCACTGGAACTTCCACCTCCCTTCCTCCTCCTGCCTTGGCCTCCTAAGTAGCTAGGACTAAGTGGACAGGCATGTACCACCATGCCTGGCTAATGTTTGTATTTTTTGTAGAGGTGGAGTTTTGCTGTGTTGCCTAGACTGGCCTCAAACTCCTGGGCTCACCAGCAATCTGTCCAGCTTGGCCTCCCAAAGTGCGGAGATTACAAGCATGAGCCACCTCTCCCAGCCTGTGTCTCTTCTTGTCACCTTATATTGCAACCCAAGACCTCTGGCCACTTCCGTTATTGGCAGACTACTCTGAAATATCCTTTCCACCTTTTTCTCACTTTCAGAATCTTGGAGACTTGTCTTAAGTGCTGCTACTTTTACTTCTGTAACCTGATTTTCAGAATTAACTCTGCATTATTTTTCTCCCGCACAGTGCTAGCCTGATGTCTCCACTCACTTGTTTTTTTCTTATAACCTTTTAGTTTATATCTATGGAGGGCTTTCCTGGATTATAAGCTCCTTGAGAGAGATAGAGGAAA